CTGTTCTCCTTTTCATACACTATTGTCAGCTGACAACATACTGTTCTTAATTATATACCAAAACATTTTTATTGCCAAACCTTCTCTTTCAGCACACATGCCTGACTTCCATTCAAAACAGGAGCATGAGTGAAATAATGTGATAATAAAGCAGTGATAATAACACATAGTGCAAACATGCATCTCACCAGAAGTCATGGACTTACACAGGAAAAAATGAAAACAGAAAATAATTCCTGTCAAAGTGCGGAAAATAAAAAAAAAAAATGAGATTGAAGAACATTTTTATACTGGAAATATTCCATTAAATTTATTATTTTTTCAAAACTACCATGAAATTCAGTAAGTTAAGCAGTTATTTGCAGGAGAGGGAGGAATAGATACATTCAAAATCACAAAGAATACAATGAAATACTTAAACAAAGCATTTCAGATTTTCACGGGTAGATCTATACTTTAAAATCACTCTAATAATCACACTGAACACAATGAGTTCTGCTTAAATTATAATGAATTTTCAGCAATACGACCAGCTCACTAGATACAATTCTCCACATCTTTTGCCCAATTGCTTATTTAAGATCTTATTTTAAATTCCTCAGAAGTCATGTAATGCTTCCAAAGAGGAAAGAGAAACTGTTTCAGATCCCATACACCACAAAGGTAATCTGGACATAGAATATTAATAGTCGATAGCTTACTGCCTTTTTCTGGTATCCACTGCTAAGTTATTGCAAAGGCAGCATTCCTTCAAAGTTCCTGAACCCACAGTGATAATATGTGAACTTTGTTCCAAAAATCCTTTCTTTACCTGGCCAGATAGCAAAATACGCTACCTAGATCAAAAAAAAATTCATCAGATCAAAGACAGTAACAGCGACGTAGTGAAGGAAAGAAAACAGAACTGTAATTCTCTACTAAGCACGTAATCACAATAGGTAAGGAAAAGAATTCACTGCTACTGATTTCACCACTTCTCTGGACAGGTTTTTTTCTCATTTTAACCAAGTCAGAGAGGGGTGGCTAGGTAACATTTTTTCTGCTGTTACTTTTCTTTTGTTCTGCTTTTTTCTCGCTTTTGTAGTAAAATTGTTATCTTTTTTCTCCTTCATTCGGACTCCTCGTAACTTCAAAATTTGTCAATATCTGGGGGAGAGAAATAAATGAAGGAGAAGGGAGGGTTTTAACTCATTAGAGGTCCCACTCCCTGAACACACTGTCATTAAACCAAGGCACCTTGCGATAGCAGCTACTACTCATTTCACACTTTGTTCAGCTTATTGTCTTCATTCTTCTGTGTGAGACCCCTCAGCAGAATCACATACGTGAAGTGGTACTTCCTACACAATTCCAAGAGCAGCTGGTGAGGAAAAGCTGGCAGGGATAGATAATGATAACAGCTTTTTCATGTGTCTGAGCAACTCACAATTTTTCAGGATGAAATCTGTGGATTCTGAAACGATACTAACCTACACTGAAGGAGCTTACAAGTTATTAATCATAATCAAGGAAATGAAAAACTAGATGACTCCATTGGCATCTGCATGCTATATCAAACTTATCTGATTTTTTTAAAGTTTTAAAATGTAGTAATATAAATCAGTTTTATGGAAGATGAGGTATCTTGTATTTAACCTGAAACACTAAAAAAATCCTAAAAAAAAAGTGTATTGGTTTTCATTGTCTCAGCAAGACAAGTTCATTATTGTTGAAGTATTCAAGTAGCTAATCATGGAGAAAAAATGACAGCACCAAGAATTAATTACAAATAACTTTTTTAGCAATTTTCTCCTGAGTCTCTCAAGTACAAAACAACCCTTCCAAAACAAGTCCAAATTAGAAACATTAAAAAGAAGAGAAGAAGAATATGCTTTTATCTTTCTATTCCTTGCCAATGCAGTGTTTCTCATTTTCATTCTCTGGTCAGACTGAGAAGACTTTTTATTGTGACAGATCAGTTTATTTTTCAAATATGTGAGAGTTCTTACCAGTCACAAAGCTGCACTGCAGTCTTTTGTACTTCCAGCAGTCTCAAAAAGAATTAGAAGCCTTCTGTTGCTCGTGTTATATCCATTTTGGGAAGAAGTCTCCCTTAGATATTTTCCACTAATTGCCTCAAAGACTTCTACAATAATCCAAAGGCAAAACAGCAGTGCTCTTTTCTAATATAAGACTAATCTAAATTTCCCCCTGTCCTTTTCTTGTGGAAGCAGGCAAACAGTAAACAGAAGGAGAATCCTGCTTGTTTGCCTCATGTGCTGGTTTTGGCTGGGATAGAGTTAATTTTCTTCACAGTGGTTGGTACAGGGCAATGTTTTGAATGTTGGGTTTAACCCAGCTGAAGTTAAAGCCAGACATCTCATTTGCAAAAACAGTAAAAATGCAGAAGGAAGTTTCCAGAGTAGTTGCTGTGATAAAAGGAGCTGTGAAGGCTAAAAGCCAGATGTGGCTTGAGAACACTGTTTTTAAACTCTGAACCACTTTGTTCAATAGGTCAGGACATATGAAGACTGAGACATAAAAAGTGCATTTTTGTTTCAACTTAATACAGAAACAAGACTCCTCTTTAAACTTAAAAAGTGAGCTTACTGGCTGACTATAAACTTTGTAACCACCCTGAACGCAGGGCCTGGAAAAAACTCAAGCCAGTGGTCATTTTATATTTTATATGAAAATTAAAAAAAAGTATTTTGCTTTAGGATAATGAAATCCCTGTTACTAGACAGACAGTATCTGTTACTAAATTGTTTTGGTGAGTGCTGTGTAACATGATCTAACTTCTACATATTCCGCCTTGTTTTTCAGTTAAGCCACATTTAACATCAAAAGCTTTCTCTATCTAATCAACGAAATCAAACAAGAATTTCCACTATAATTTGTCATAATTCAGCTAGCTTTGCAGACACAGACAAAGAAATCATGAATACAAAAAGTTCTCATTGCAACGGTTTAGATTTAAATGCAACCCGAGAAGGGTTATATACATGACATGTATGTCGTAATTCCTGAAGATTCCTTTTCATGTCACAGATTTAAAATCTGTAAATACAATTACATGTTAACCCATCTAAAAATTATTAGACAGCTACTATTATTAGAGGTTTTTTTCTAAAAGTTTCAGAGATCGCACCAACCTGCTACCTGTACTCCAGAATACTGCAGTAAGGATGATGAGTGTGACAACATTAGAACAGTTATGTGACTCTCATGAAGCGTGTGTTCAATGCTTAAATCACAAATGCCAAAGGCACAATTGATGAGAAAACTCTATAATGGTCTGTGATGGACTGAAATGTCAGTAATGTCCTAAACATTGTCAAAATCATAGAAAGACTTTTTGTCCAACTACAAGGAAGCAACTGCCTGTCTGCGACCACCAAAATCTGACTGGAATTTGGATTGTGACTGGGGACTTGAGATAAGACTATTGTCTAATCATCTCAAGTGTGAGGAGAAGTAAACAAACAAGGTCCAGGAATGCAGAATGTATCTGTGTTAAAAACCAGCCCTTGCTGGACTGAGGGGGTAGTGGAGGAGAAGGGTTTTGGGCGTGTGATGGTGAAATCCCCCCACACCAAACCAAAGGAGTAAAGCCGTCCCCTCCACTCCAGGAAGGACCAGTACACACAGGACATTCGTGTGAGAGGCAGCTCAGAAGGGGGCATAAACCATCAAAGACCCCCAAAGCGCTCCGCCAGCTCGTTCCTGAGGCCTCCCACCACCACAGGACTGCACATGATCCAAGTGAGGCAACACATCCAGAGCCTGTGCAAGAGGCTGCAAAGCCTCCCCCCGCCCCCAGGGGAGGTGCTGGCATCTCCTGAACGCACATTAATCCATCGGACTCGACGTTTCGTGGGACCCTCACCACCAAGAAGACCAGAAGACCTGGACTGACGGGATGCCAACAGGTTACACGGAGTGGTGATATATTTTCTATTTTAATCTCTCTCTTTCGCTCACTTTCTTCTTCCCCCCCTCCTTTTTCCTATTTCTTTCTATTTTTCTTTCTCTGTCTCACATTTACTTTTAAATAAAACCCCCACTATTGACTTTGGCATCTGGTCTTGTCTGCACCTTAATCCGGGTAAAGGTTTTTCTAATAATTTTAATAATCGGATCATAACATGGTCTCCTGAGGAGTTTACTGTATATACAGTACAGAACCTTACAGCAATTTAAGGGTTTCTAGATCTGTAACACAGGATTATTCATGCCTACAGGCATATACCAAAAAATCAGAGAATCACTGGTAAAAAAACACTGTGCTGCAGAATACACTATTCCCAGTGCACGAAGAAGAAAATTATTCAGAACTTCTTGAGGTTAGTCATTTTTCATATACTTACAAGCAATTATGCTTAATGGAAAGGAGCATTAAGGGTCTCTCTGTCCAGAGTGAGACGAAAAGAAAATACATGTTTTGAACAAAAAACCCCATCATAATTCCTTGGCGTTACAGTAGATGAATTGCTGGAGAAAATACATTGTGATGAACAGTATATGTTTAGGTAATTACTAAGCAAGATAATATGCCAGTTTCAGTGTGTCTTGATATCATTTTGATACCGCTTGGAAGGAGAATTTTGTACTTCAGATCACTATGGACTGACCATTTGCTACATGAACATAGTTCTTCTAAATTCCCAGAACTTCCTGAGGCCTCCTAGATAACATGAATTTCACTCCATACTTTGAATCCTATATCCTAAATCCTGTGCAGTATAAATTTACTGAAAGAAGGCTACTAGCTCTTAGATGAGTCAATAAAAATCATTAGAATCCTTGATATTACATCATTTTGGTTGATTTTGGTACAGAGAATTCCATTCATTGATTCTGTCAGTCAAGTTACAATACGGGAGCCACCTAAATTTCTAACCATGAGATGCCTAATATTTAAGCTGCAGCTTATCTAATCCCTTAAAAACTGCATTTTAAAAATATTTAAGCACATTCTGACTGTTGCTATAATTTAATAAAGTTTTTGTGTCCCTTACCTTTAAAGACGATTTAGTTCGAGGTTCTGTTTTCTGCCTGGTGAGCCTGTTCTGAATAAGCAATGATTGATCTGTACGAGTATCATAATTCCCATGTTCTGAATCATCTGTATAAGTATCTTTGTCCTTCCCTACATCTGAAGGAAAAACAGAAGAAAACAATGGGCTCATTTTAGATTATAGTGGATAGAAATGAATAGTATTATTGCAGCCACAGTTGAACATTCATTTTTGTACACACTTTTCAATAATATATTCTATCCCTTCCTGCAAAAGTTTTTTACTTGAACTGTTATCATCTTTATCTTCAAGTAGAAATGACTTCTATTTTTAGGAGACAGCCTAGAGAAGTGGGGTTTCACTATGGTTTTACAGTAGTTTAAAAAAAACCCACAAAGTGATATGAATATTCAAATGCTTGACTCACAGTTGTTGAGACTCAAAATGTTTTACCAAATAGGCAGGTACCTCCTGGAGACCAGAGTAACAATGTCATGTCATAAATTTCAGCAAGCAATCGAAATGCCCAATTCCCCCCCCGCCCCCCAAAATGCAGATACAGCATTTGAAAATTTGCATCTTAAGACACTGCAGTAAGCACTTCAGAACACATTTTAGGAGGGCTACCCGACGGTGGTAGAAGGTAGAAGGACATCACAAAGAAAGCATTTTCCTTTTCACTGGATTTAGTTTTAATTGCTCAACAGAAGTTTTCATGAAAACTTTGCTGAGTACCCTGAGAGAGCTGCAGGACACAGAGGACCTTCCTCAAAGCTTACCCACATTGTCCCTCAGTGAGTCACGACAACACTTACCCTGTATACCCAGCAGGAGTAAAATGAAGGGTAATGTCTGTACAGTGTAGGACCACGTAAAGTTTTAAGGAATGTTGGAAAATGGTCAGACTTGAAAAAATATTTTAAAGATGAAAAAGATGGAATAATTATTCCCACACAACTGGAAAAACTGGAAATAGAAACATATTCAGACAAAAAAATTACCCACAAATCCTGAGCCAAGTTCTCATTTCAGCTTTCACATCAACATGGGAAAAGTCAGGAGGACTAGGAACAGCATTTAGCCCAGTAATTCTAAACCTTATAGAGAAGCCAAGTCATGGTTGCTGTGGAAACCACAATCTTGAATTTTCTGAATATTATATTCATAAAAGCTCATCTGCAACAATAAAGTCTTTTTCATGAAGTTGCTCAGTTAAATTTTCCACAGTAAGTACTACAGAAATAAAAAAAAAGAACAAACACAATCATCTCACATACCCTAAACATTTCACATTTCTGAGATGGAATATTAAAAACTAGAACATTTCCAAGCACCACTTTTTCTGCAGTTGAGCTACTACATAACGATTACACAAAATGTTTCCCTGGTAATTTCTGATATTGACACTAACCTTGGTAAATCTGTGATTGGATTTTGTCATGTAAAAAATAGTTAATTTTAATCATCAAAGTGCCTAACTCAGGGATTTTATTTATTTTAAACAATGTTTTAACTTAATACCCTGTTTGACCTGCACTGTAAGTATCCATCTTTAAATTCAAACGTGGATCTTTATGTGGCTGCAGCTCCATAAAATGTCATGAGAAAAGCTTGGCTGCCTGAAGTTCTCTCCCCCAGCACTGTGGGAAAGCTACTGTTTACTGCATTTTTATTTTCCACCAGGTCCCTGCCCTATGACAACCCATTTGGTTGTTACTGTTGAGATCAGCTGCCAGTGCTCCCTGTTCTGCTACTTCTTAGACAGGCTCTAATGCCAACTCATCACAACTAGTCTGCTTCATTTGGAGGGGTTAGGGGTAGGCAAGAAGCCACAAGAGGAAAAAAAAAAAATCCAGTTAATATTGCTCTATAAGCTCAGGTTTTTTACAGCAATTGATAAGAAGATGAGCCCTCAACAGACCTCAGCTGTCAGCCCCTCCCCAGGCCCAGCGAGCTTGTGGACTCCCCATCCCTGGAGGTGTTCAAGGTCAGGATGGATGGGGCTCTGAGCAACCTGGTCTAGTGGAGGGTGTTCCTGCCCACAGCAAGGGAGTTGGAACTGTTGAAGGTCCCTTCCAACCTTAATCACTCTATGGTTCTGTGTTCTCCTTGCTGCTATTAATAAATGCCATCCCGTCTGTGCTTAGCTGGGCACAGCTGAAAGACATGAGCTAGGAGCATCCCATTCACATATATTGAGAGTCCTTGCAATGTTTTTATTGAACATTTTCATATGGATTTTTTAAAAGTAATTTTCTTCTTTAGAGAGCTAAATAAAGTTGATGCAATTCTCATCTGTGTAAGCCTAATCACTAAAATACTACTCTATCAAAATGTCCATCAATCAATGTATAGATGTTGAAATATATCAGCTGAGCAGATGTGCTTTATTTAGCTTTTAGTTAATCTACTCTGTCGGTATTAACTCAGTAAGGTAAAAAGCCTTTAGTCAATGTAAAAACACGCCAAAGTCAGCAAAGAGCATAATAATTGTTTACAAAGCATTTTTCTATTTCTCCTCTACTGAAGGACCAAAAAAACAAAAATATCTGACCTGTTGAGGTGACTCCTGGATAAATAGAGCTCCCCTACATTAATGCTAAAGTAAAAAGATCTTGAGTATCCTGAAAAATTTTGAGACTGTGGAAAACCTCAAAAAATGTAAAGAAAAAAGGAAAAGGGGAGGGAAGGGGGGAAAGCATGGCTGGGGTAAAACAAAAAGTCTGCTGCAGTGGGAGCACTGCAATGGAGGATGGGACTCATGTATGTCCATGCCCACATCCTCAAACCACCAAGGACATTGAAAGGACATTTGCCTTCATTCCTAACCACTTCTTTTAGTTTTGAGCACTTTGCAGAATTATTTTTTTCAGGTCTCCTGTGGTGGGTTGACCCTGGCTGGGTGCCAGGTGCCCACCAAAGACACTCTGTTACTCTGCTCCTCAGCAGAATTGGAAGGAGAAAAATATAAAAAGTGGCTCCTGAGTCAAGATAAGGACAGGGAGAGATTAGTCACCAATTACCATCATGGTCAAAACAGACTCGACTTGGGGAAAATAAATTTAATTTATTACCAAGAAGTTAAGAGCAGAATAATGACACATAAAACTAAATCTTAAAATACCTTCCCCCTGACCCTCCCTTCTTCCTGGACTTAACTTTACTCCTGGGTTCTCGACCTCCTCCCTCAGGAGCAGCACAGGGGAATGGGAAATGGGGGTTGCATCACACACTGTCTGTGCTACTCCTTCCTCCCAAAGGTGGGACTCCTCACACTTTTCCCCTTCTCCAGCATGAGGCCCCTCCAATGGGGAACAGTCCTCCATAAACTGCTCCAGCATGAGTCCTTCTCACGGGCTCTAGTTCTTCATGGACTGCTTCAGCATGGGTTCCTTCCACAAGGTGCAGTCCCCTCAGGAACAGACTGCCCTAGCACGGGTCCTCCACCAGATCACAAGTCCTGCCACCAAACCTGCTCTAGTGTGGGCTCCTCTCTCCACAGGTCCTGCCAGGAGCCCGTTCCAGCATGGACTTCCCAGGCTGCTCCAGCACAGGCTCCTCCACGGGCTGCGGCTGGATGTCTGCTCCACCACGGACCTCCACGGGCTGCAGGAGCACAGTCTGCCTCACTCTGCTCTTCACCATGGGCTGCAGGGGAATCTCTGCTCCAGCTGAAGTTGCCCGTAGGTATTTTATTTCCCCCCTGAAATCTGCTGTCCCAGAGATGCTTCCAGCGCCACTGAACGGGTTCAGCCTCGGCCAGCGGCGGGTCCGTCCTGGAGCCGGCTGGCATTGGCTCTACTGCACCCAGGGGAAGCTTCCAGCAGCTCCTCATAGGAGTCACCCCTGCAGCCCCCCCAGCTCCCTAAAACTTGCCAGGCGAAGCCAAGACAGCTGTTCAGGTAAAATATTACCGCTGACGCAAACAAAATGTGCATGACCCTTTACACAACCTCTTTATGTGAGTTTTCATAGTACCTGCTAGAAGCAGAAAGATTTAAATATCAATTCTAGTAAAAGACTATGTGCTTGCAGAACTACAATACAAAGCAACTATAATACATCTTTAAATGAGTATAGCCAATTAACAGTATCTGGCTGATGTATTTGACTTATACAGTTATGTTAATTAAAACTTATGTGATGGTTGAGAGCTTTCAGAATTGTTGTCACATAAAAAGTTTTATTAAAAAAATATTAAAATGGTGTATAGAATTTGTAAGTCCCAAGTGACCTGTTATAGAAAGGAAAGGTACACTATTATGACTTCAAGTCAGAACAGTTTCTGTATTAAATTATCTTTTGCCAATGCTGCAAAAAAAGAGAGGAAAAAAAACCAGGCTGAATTTTAAACAAAGATAAGGTTGTTAAATCAAAGAAAAGGGTGGCAGCTTCTAATTCTACAGGTAAGAGTCCAAATCTTATTTCAATAAAGTCAGTGGGAATTTCAGTATTCACTTCAATATGTCAAGGATTTCTCTTTAATTAGGTACATACTTAAAGCAGATGCACCCGTATAATTGTTAGAACACCTGAACATGTAACTAAGTAATGTCACCTTGGATACATACTCAAGTATAAGGTGATTTTAAAAAGGCTTCAAGCATTAATCAAGCAGATAACAGATCTCTTCATCCTAGCAGTTGCTTTGCTTTGCTATCTTGTTATATAGAGGCATGATGAGTAACTTCAGTCTTCATACATCAGAAAAATCTATCAACACTTCCTGACATATAATCTTACTACACTTAATGCATGACAATAAGATATGCCCTATAAGGTAATTTATAGGATAAAACACTGGAGACACTGTCATTTCTGGAAATACTGTATATAAAAATGCAGAAGCATTTAGTTTAGAAATAGATTTCTAGGTCCTCACTTTGCATCTTCAATTTTAGGTCTTCTGAACTGATTGGCTATCTTTCTTACTATCATACTTTTCTGAAGGGTGCGTTTTAGTTTTATGAAAGGGGATAAAAAGCACTTGTCCCAGTTTCTCTGTAACATGCAATTCATTAATATATTTTATATAACTGTAGTTTATGATAGCAAAAGCTTTTCAATTTACATGTGGCATAGTTATGGAAAAAGAAATTAATATATATATTATTCCTAAACGGTTTCTGTTTCACAG